TTAGCGAGCAAAACCAGCAAAACGAGCAAAAACTGAACCTGAGAAAATCGAACGTCGACTAATTTTAACATGTGATTTCTTCCCGATAATTTCCTTATGTGCGTTTTGGAACTAGCTATGAGAACAGTGGTGACGTCATGCTGTCGAGCATGTATTGCAATGTAACTTATAACTATCATGGACGGAACCGCTAACGCGATTATAAGCTCAGCAACAGTGAAAAACTAAGTTTCACCCAAATTCGTTGACACTTGTCCCATTGCACGGACACTTGGGTGCCTGCTGCCACCAGTGACGTCATCATAGTATGTCCATTTTTAAGAAACAATTTCCAGCTACTTACCGTGCACAATTTGAAATCGATTATTTTTTCGGTAAGAAATTCTTGGCCAGACACCAGGGGGAAGCACTCGCCTTGGCCGTATAGGGCCAGAATGTCTAATGATTTCGGCCATGTTGTGTATACCAAAGTCTTGAAAAGTTGATCGCTGCAATCAAACTGCAAGCATGAAGCAGCAGCACTTTTGAGAAGTGTACCTCTCACTAAACTGCACCTCTGCTACCGTAATGCAATTTATATTTCTGGTATACACAACATGGCGGAAATCGATAGACAAAAACAAGCCACCAATGGTCCTTCCAGTCATGGGTGTAGGAGCGCCAAAAATATTGGTGAAGGATGTCACCTGAACCTTCGGAGAGGGTGCAGGACCTTACCGCAGTGGAGGGGGGGGGGGAAATTTCGCCAACTCCTGTTTTTTTTTTTCTCGCAAATGTCTCACGCCATTATAATCTACTTAACGTCAACTTTTCAGTACATGCCTAAAATTCAATTTTTAGGTATCCAAGCATACCTTTGGATACCTACCAAAGGTATCCACCATCCAAGCATACCTTTGGAACCTAAAGGTATGCTCCACTGCATTTTTTTCGTGACCAAAGTCTTACAACTTTCCCACGAGTAAAAACAAGCCAATTTATTTCGATATTCACGGCATTTACTGAGACACATTTACACGTTTACCAACTTCAATACAGTTTTCGGCTTTACCTATCATTTATTAAATGGCGTGAATTGTGAAAAAGGTGGGCATAACGCTTCATAACTGAAAGGATGGGATAATTGGGTACCTGTTGCCGTTTTAGCCTTTTTGTTCATCCCATTCGGCATTGCTTTTTTTAACATTAGATCGACCGTCGAACCCAGTCGTTCCAGCATTGGTGAAGACCCTCACCTGCATTGCTCAAGATTGGTGAAGGATCCTTCACCAATCTAAAACTTTGGTGAAAGGTATCCTTCACCAAAGAGATACGTTGCTACACCTATGCTTCCAGTATATATTAGAGTTCAGTGCCAGACACTGAAGCTGCCAAAACTCACGTGAAAGCTTCGATATTGCACTTTGAGCCAGCGTCCTTTTGAAAAAAAAAACGAACTATAGTTTTTAAATCTTTACTTTTCTTTCAGTTTTCCATTCAGAGGACTTCCTCATACTGAAGGCAAGGCGCTGAAGGTTTTGGATTGTAGACGAAATATTTGTTTACACGCGTCACATTTGTAGACCGTCAGCCACCGCTGACAAAAGTTCGTCAGCCGAATGTATACAGTTCCGTCAGCCAGAAGCGGTGGGCGGAGCCTATTTCGGCTGACAACAGCACAGCAGCTGAATGTGTACAGGCCTTGAATAATTCGCGAAGGATTGAACTGATTTCTGAACCAGAATGATATGAGAATAACTTGTGGATTGAATAGAGTGAATATGGGTGTCTAGTGTTTGTGAATTGAATGAATTTAATAATTTGACCATTTGTGGCCAGATGTAAATTAGCTAAATTTATTTGAACGTTAGATGTAGACATTTGCTACAAAACCCCCGTTTTCTATTCGGCTGACTCACCTTCCACCATAGTGACGCCTCACGACATAACGTAAAGCTGATTGGCGGAAAACACGTATAGGGGAAGGAGGGTGAATTGCGCCACCTTAAGGAAAAACGCTCATTGTAAGAAAACCGCTGGAGATATAAGCATGCACTGGTAACCATTTCAGAGAGGAACTCATTGGCTACGATTTAAGAGCCTCCCGAGCAATTAAGAATGTTTCGTTTGCTTCTGACAGCTGCTTTTTCAGAAACATGCAAAAGGGCGCATTTGCCAACAACTGCTGTAAATTGCGCCGCCAGGGGGATGGCGCAATTAGAACCCAATTGCGCCCTACACTTAAACATGGCTAAGTGAATGAGACGGAATGCATACACCCCGGCAGTCTAATGCCATTGCGGCTTACTTAAACATTTATAATGTTATTCAGGCTGGATAAATAATAAATGTAGATAAAAATCGCGATGTTTTTTTTTTGCCCGGGTAGATAACTTTACATGTGTCCGTACGCTTGCAAAAGTGCAACGAAAACGTTTACTGTAACCGACTAGATATATGTGAACGTATGCGCCTATACAGATAAATTTTCAATCGTTTCTCTCAAAATTAATAATTTTTTATCGTTTTGACAACTTTATGACATCAGTTTTTACTATTTATCATAGCTGTCACTCCTCACGCCTGAGTCCATGTTGAAAATGTGGTATTTTGGCAATTACACCACAAGTCGTAGCCTAAATGGCAGCTGCATTATAAGTTTGACGAGATAAATAATTTGCGGACTGACGACAGCGGGCTGCTTCCTTGCTTGACTCCTTCTTTACTCTTTCTTTATTGCAATCAGTTAATGATGCATTCATACTGTCGTGATACAATAGCTACACCATTATTCTATTTGCGCCCCCCTGGCGCAATTGCCATGTGCGCAATTAAAATTGAGGTACTTAAAAAAAGCGTAGAAGTTATCATAAAGATGTTGAAGGAAGTTTATTGTTTCAGTGAAATACAATGAAAAAAGGGTTTTTCTTTCTAAATATCACTCTGAACATCACACAAATATCGCAAGTTTTTATAGCCAACGGTTCAAAATACTGCAAAAAAGCTAAGAAAACGCCATAACATCTTTGATGGCGTAATGAGCCTTGCTGATTGGCTTCATCGGAGAGTTTGGGCCATAAAATGAACTATCCAGTGATGAAAATAATGTTTTCGAACACAAAATTCTAAACATGCCATTGAATCCGTGGGCATGTTGGTGGGCGCAATTGGTTAGGAGGGCGCAATACACCCACTTTCCCCTACATGGGATGTCCCAGGATGACAAGCCCCTGTCCCGGCCGAAATCAGTGGCTTACCATAATGTGTTGATAATAGCCGTTTTCACGACGGCCATCTGGTACACATTTGGTGCACATTTGGTGCAGATTAGGTGCAGATTTGGTCAAATTAGGTTCAGCGTGTCTCTTAACGTCTACTTCTGCTAGTACCTACCCAGTCCATCAGTGAGTGCTCATTCAAGCTGGATTTCTAATTAGAACCATTTTAAGTGTTTTAGAAGTTGGTAATGCTGAATATGGTGCTTACGTTAGTATCACAAATGAACCGGACATATCTAAAAAAAAGAATAATGACGCTTCGGCAACATCTGGCGAACCGGACATGCTTACAGAGGAACCAAAGATGCTTAAATTTGAAATTGGCGCCAAAGGAAGTAGCTAAGCCATTCTTTACAAATCCCTGGCCCCTGGGAGTCTTACACTAGCACGTTTTGACGGCGCAGAGCGATATGCGCATGCGCGTGCCAGCTGTTTCCGGCCAGGTGTTGCGCCATTTTAGTGCAGTCCGTTGGTCGCGTGGTGGGAGTGTGTGCACGTGCTCCGGGATGAAGTGAAATGAAGTGAAGTGAAGTGCTCCGGGCACATGCCACCGAGTGATAGCTCTAGAATGATAGCTTAAATCAGCTATTATCGGTGGAATCCATTGTGCGTGGCATGGGAGTGCGTGCCCCTGCTCCGGGATGCAGTGAGGTGGAGGGAAGTGCAGTGCACCAGTGCAGCAGTGCAGTGAAGTGAAGTGAAGTGAAGTGCTCTGGGGCCGGGTGGACATGAGCATTTGCCATCGACACATGCCACCGACACCGACGTTGATCGACATTGGTGAGTCTGACACATTATATCTTTCGACATTATCTTATATTGTTTAAGTGCTTCATATTCCGACTTTGGCAAATCGCGCTTCTTGTCTGAAAGGAAAGTTGTGTTGTTTGTGAAAATAGCTAAAAAAATTGGAACTGATCTAGTTTTTTTTTGCTCCAGACATGGGGCCTGGTCAGTTCTTCCGTCGACTGTCACTTATCAATGGAGGACAACTACGACAACAACACGGGGTCTCCGGTACCGTCTATCACTAAACGCCGTCTGGTCGTGGATGGGGTCAAACTCATGGCCATGTACGGAACATCGGTTCAGCGACCCTCCCCCCCTTACACGGGAATATTGCAGAATGCAAAACACAATTATTGAGACTGTAGTTATCACTGATCTAGGATATAACCGTTTTTTTTTGCACGCCTTTTCGGCTTTTTACAATTTCCTTTTTGGTAATTGATGAGTCCTTTTTGCAGTAACTAGTGAAAGTATATGCTGCTAAAGAAAGCAGTTTTTGCGAACTTTTCATGCAGCAGCTTTAACTAGTAACGATACCTATTCGCAATGTTAAAACCCCGGAGCGCATCCCCCTGACACGTAGCTACTAAGCTTCTGCGTCAAACATTATTTGATATAAAATATAGTTCTTCCTATATCAAAATATAAAAAATAATCCTTTTAACAAAAAAATATTTTCTATTCATTTTGAGCGTAAAATATCATAAATCAATTGCAAAAAAATACTTTTTGGAAAGTGGACTATTCCCCTTAAATCTTATAAAAATAATCATTATAAAATGAAATTAATGAAAAATAATGCTTGATAGCTACACCTAGCGTAGCTTAGCTACACTAGCTAGGAGCTTAGCTACTATATAAAAAATACTTAGCTACACGTAGTTTAGCAGCTACACGTAGCTTAGCAGCTACACGTAGCTTAGCTACACTAGCTAGGAGCTAAGCTACACTTACCTGATGTTTGTAGTTTCTGCGGTGATGCCCATGAAAACCCGGTCGTTATTGTTGCTGGTTGCTCCGTTGTTTCTTCGTCAGGAATGGCTGAGGGTTTGGGAGAGAGCGAGAAGGAAGATTGAGATGGTTTTGGTGTAGTCGGTATTGTAGGCTTGGTAGTAGTTTTGGTGATTGGTTTTAGGGTAGTTGGTATTGTAGGCCTGGTAGTCGTTTTGATGGATGCTTTTTGGGTAGTTGGTATTAAAGGCTTGGTAGTAGTTTTGGTAATGGGTTTTAGGGTAGTTGGTATTGTAGGTTTGGTAGTCGTTTGGGTGGTTGGTTTTTGGGTAGTTGGTATTATAGGCTTGGAGGTAGTTTTGGTAATTGGTTTTGGGGTAGTCGATATCGTAGGCTCAGTAGCAGTTTCGGTGAATGGTTTTGAATCGACCAGCCTTGCAGATTTTGTTATTGATAGTGGGACAGGTGCAGGGCCGATGTTTGGCTTTGGAGTAGATTTTTCGATGGGCTCTGAAAGCGGAAAATTATGTTGTAAACGCAATGGTTATGCACATTGCACCATCATTGCACGTCCGTTTTAGCATTCCTGCTTATTTTTACGTAATACAGTGCTTTTTTATCAACTACTTGGAATCGACAAATCCTGAAACGAGGCTCCATGTTTGAAAACAATCGGTTTGATTTGTCCATGACACTGCTGCGCTATCATCTTGAATTAGATCTTCTTGGTAACACTATTTTTTAGTGTACCGTCGTATTTCTATATTACGCTGTACCTACCTACAAGTGTATTATCACGATTTATAGCCCTCGTCTCACACCGTGGCTGGCTTTTCGACAAAACCGGGAATAGCTGGAGGGCTGTGTTATCGGTCTCAAGACGAACCCAATAACTATCGCCCAATCAGTGTGTTTCCAGTCGTGACAAAGCTGCGCCAGCGCTCTGTATTCACTACACTGTAAACTCATTTTGACAAGGGGTTGTCGTACAACGACGAGCGTTTGACAAAAATACTAATGAAGGTTATGTCGAACGACGAATAGCTTGTCTTAGTTGGTTGAATCAACGGGGCAAATATAAGTATCAGCCCCAACACCTAGTCAACCATTCATACAATTGACGAGGATTATGGAGGCTTTTGTGAAAACTACCAGGAGCTTATTCGTAATATGGAACATAGATTTGCTTATGATTTGTAATTTATATTCTTGTCGAAAGAACCAGCTACACCTTTGCAACAATACTGATACATACTTATGTAATCTATGTCCTTGTCGAAGGTATCAGCTACACCTTTGCAACACGGACTTAGATACGCTAGTTAGACGTGTTAGTAGTAACATACACAAAGCTGTTACTTGTTATATAGGTGGCGCCAAAAACGTTTCCGGCCGTTAGATTTTGAAAGAGTTTCAGTTGCGCACCAACCGCCGTGCAGTGATGTGGCCTCCTGCGCAGTTCCGTGGAAACGGTAGGTAATAACAGTGTTCGGTCTTTTTTGTCATTTTTTAATGAAATGTATGTCTATCAACTGGTATATGCAGATTGAATCAGAGAAATTTGCTAAATAAGTGCGTGATGTATGGAAGTAAGCACAATTGTTCGGCGCAAGGCCATATTGTTCTGCTTATGCTAGCGATGCTTTCTTTGTGGTGTCAATCGGAACTTGAATCTTCAGAATTCCTACTTTGTCTAATGTCCAATTCGGAATTTGGTTGGACAATGACACCAGGCTTTGGACAATTTTGGACAATCACTTGATACACCTTAGCATTTTTATATACTAGAATTCTAGACAATAATGAGCCCAATTTTAGGTCTTCAGCATCGTGAGCCTTGGTAGTATTTCCGAGTGACCGATAACATATGAGCCATCGAGTTATTCTCAGTTTTGTTGAGAGAGAGAAAAAAAATCTACCACGCAGCGAGCCGAGCCCTGCAGTGTGCATATTCATACGTTACACTGACTGACTGACACCTACATTGACTGACACCGATACTAACACTGACTGACACTGACTGACACTGACACTGGCTAGTGGCTGACAATGATACTGACACCGGCACTGACACTGACCGGTTGATACGTAGCTGCTAGCCACTGCCATTTCGAAAACCTTACCGCGCTCAGTGCTCGGTGCTCACCCCGGTTGTCGAAGGGACTGGTGCTCTTCAGACCGTTCAAGTGGGTGATGTTCAGTTGATTCTTCGCTACCAGGACTGTGAAACGCCAGGGCCCGAGTTAGCCATTCTACCGAAACTATCGAAGGTGTATACTACACTCACTACAGGGTGTCTAGTAAGTCGTTCAAAACCGATCTGTTTATGATGTTGAACGTGTTTACCATTTTTCGGAAACACGAGAAACATCAAACCGCTGTTGGCGTGCACGTGCAGCTTATTAACCCGCGTCCCGTAGGGCTATCGGGGTGGACCCTACCACCCGTAGGGGGGGGGGGCGTTTCGGCCCCCAAATATCTCGGAAATTTACCAGACGATTTTCAAAATCCAAACGGCGTTTGATAGTCACACCGGGGAACTACCTTGTGACCAGATTTCACTGACCTCGATCCAACCAATGACGTCACAGGTCAGGTCAAAGGTCGAATCTTCACCGTTTACAGGCATTCCAAGAAATGTGTTGTGAAATCGAGCAAATTGGTAAATTATTGAAAATCGTCGATGGAGAATTGTTCGTCAAACACAAATTTTGCTATCTTAGGTCACTGATACCACGGGAGGTCACAGAAGTCAGGTCAATGAGGGTCACACTATATGAAAGTGTCGTGTGATACATGTTTTATGGTCCATTTTACATAACAAATGCGATTAAGTGGGTCAGGCAGCCTTTGGGGCCAGTTTAGGTTATGCTCTGGTGAAGGTCAGGTCAGGTCAGGTCAAATTAGGTCAACTTTCAGAGTTGAAATGTTCAGAACATAAATGTGTAGAAATAACAGGGCTATAAAACTGCTATCTCTGATTTTTTCTTTTTTTTTTGTTTTGACCAGCAAGTTTGAGCTTCCCACCTTTCAAGGTCAGGTCACCAGGTCACTTCAAATATACCAACCTCAAATCACTTTTTTGCAACTTTGTCACCTTGTCAGAGCTACAGTAGATGGTGGAGGCCTTTGAAAGTTGCAGGATGTAACGAGGTCATTAGTAGCTACAATTCGCAACTCTCGGAATTTTTATATCGATGACCTAAGGTCAGATGAATTTCTTGACCTCCCCATTGTAAGTCAACAGGGGAAAAATTAAATCCCTGTCTTTTCCATTAAAACGTGTCGGAATGGCCCAATACACCATGAATGACTTCATATACGATCAACCTTGACTGCCTTGAGGCCATTTTTGCTCTTGGGCAAATGTGAGGTCATGTGATACACTGACGTAATCAACTGTTACTGGCTACCGCTGCGTGTGGAATACGCGCCCCGTCGGAGCTCACCGGACGGCAGGAAGGGGTCGGAGCTCATCGGCGGCAGGAAGGGGCAGCAGACCCTGCCCGGGCCGGAGCTCCCCTGGCGGCTGGAAGGGGTCGGAGCTCACCTGGCGGCTGGAAGGGGCAGCAGACCCTGCCCCTGAAGCCGGCGCTGGTGCAGGCGGAGAGGCGGCCGACCAGCCGGCGCCGGTCTGCCGGGCACTCGTCCCGGTAGAGGCACGTGCCGTACAGGGCCCGCTTCGAACGGTCGGTGGCGCACAGCCGGCCGCACTGGATCAGCTCGTGCTGGTGCACCCGCTCTGCGCCGGAGGGCACGCCAGGGGGGGGGGGCAGTACGTTAGTGGGGGCTCAGCACGACATCAATAGAGGGAGGAGTCAGTCCGTCAGTCAGTCAGCATTGCGTCAATAAAAACAAACTTTACTCACATCACTCATTCTGCTCGATTCCGCCAATTGTTGTGCGCCACATGTTGTGCGCTTGGTTTTGTGCCGTTCGACCTCAATTTATTGGGGCGGTCATCAAACTATAACCGTCCGCCGGCGCCGCCGTCTTACCCTCTTACCGCCGTCTTACCGCCGGAGTTCTATAGCCTTGGTCTTACCCTGTCGCACCCATGGACAGCAGACGGCCTGGTGACCCAGGCCGAGCTCGCACAGCGTCACGAACGACGAGGCGCGCAGCCGGTGGTCGGGGCACCGGTGCGCCGGCTCGCAGGCGCCGTACAGCGCGTCGGCCGTCTGACACGACTGGGAGCAGATGAGCCACCTGTGCAGCGAGGTCGGCTGCTGCTCGGCCCTCCTCCGGCCGGACGCTGCGGCAGGGAGAGGCGGGGGGGGGGGGGGGGGGGGAAACTCAGCTGGGCGGGGCACTCGGGGAATAGTTCATCTGTAGTAAGTACAGCACTCAGCCAGCAACTGCGTGGTATGAAACATTCTTTATCGAAAATATATAATTTCAGAGTTGCAGCACTTGGATTCAGAGGGGCTAATGCATTAGGATGCCCCCTCTGAATGTGTGACGTCAGCGCAGATCTAACGATTTCAAATCTTTTACTAAAACGTTTGGTAATACATGGTGGTATGCGTATTTGGAAATTCCGACCTCGACGAGCGTCTGTAGTAGAAAACCACTACATTGGCAGGGGAAACTACTGCTGTCTGCTACCATTTGCACCGCATGTGTCGCTACAGTTGCGACATCTATGCACAGCACATGGATAAACATAATATAGGTAGAAGGTACATATAACTACTTAACCCTCGCCCGCACATGCCATTTTCCCATCCTAGAACGCACATGGGGGGGGGGGGGGTGCCACCCCCCGCGCCATTTCGTTCCTGTTGGAGATAGAGCTTCGCGGTAAAGACCAAAATGATTCTTTGGGAAGAGACGAATCCAATGATACTCAGTTTTACCTTCTCTTCTCAGGTCAGTCATTGACCTTTCAGGTCAGGTCAAACTAAAACATGTTGCTGTTTTGGGTCACCGTTGGATATCAAGTGCGCTGCTTATCATATACCGATGACGATGCCGTTTTCTGGTGCCAAGCCAGCTAGAAGGTCTTTGTCACACTACCCGACCAGGTTTTTGGTGCTGAGGTCATTTCAGGTCAAGTTAGGTCAAGGTCAATTATATGTGTTTATATGTCTGTGTGTGTCTGTGTATACTGATGTGTGCACCGATGGTTTATGTGTCCATATTACACGAAATCATGATCTGAGAAGCTTTTACCAAAAATGCAGTCAAAAAACTTCACGAAAAGTAAATTCAGCTTGCCTGAAACGCAATTATTTTAGATGACCTAGGTTGACCTTGACCTTGACCTTGACATCTGTACATCGTCGAACATGTTCCATGATAGGTGGGAGGGGAGACTGGCAAAAAAGGCCGAAATCAAGGTGTCAGAAGCTCACAAGGCCCATAGCCAACGCAAGGTGTTGAGAATTGGTCATTTGGGTCATGACATGACTTGAAAAATAAGGTCATATCTCCGAAACCAAAAACCACAGGTGCTTGAAATTTTCAGTGAACATCGAGAAAGGATAGAGGAGCAGCTATACGAAAAATCAGGCTTCTAGGTTTAAAATGTTGAGTGCAGAGCAGAAAAACTATCTGGGGGGTTGGGGGTGGCAACCACCCACCACCCCCCATGTGCAACTGGTCTGGAAGGTCGTAACGTGATGTAAGTAGTAACGGCAGCGTTTCGCGTCGCTATTTTTTAGCTTAAAGAACTTGGGTCCGAAATTTTAACAGCATGTGCGGAAAATATGTAAGTTTTCTTATAAATTTAGTCCGTGCTGCTGCAGGCCTTTTGAATGGCAGGATTCACAAGGACAGAGCCACAGCTAGCTGCAGGCCTTTTGAATGGTAGGATTCACAAGGACAGAGCCCCAGCTAGGCAGAGCTCGTTGCGTTGGCCGGCCCCTGCCCTCCATCTCCCGATCGCGCAATTCTTGATATATGACAGAATTTAGAGTCCGAAGTCCTACGCGCATAGCCGCGCACGGCCGGTCTGACTACGGCCTGCCACCAACCGCAACCATACAACCTCTACGGCAACCTGTACCTGTCAGGAGGCTCATAAACATCGAGTGCCCCTCGCGCTTCAAACCCGGACTGTTATGTTCAGTGGCGCGGGAACTTCTTCCAGACGGGGGGGGGGGGGGGGGCTGAACCATAATAGATCAACCTAGGGTAGCCCCAAATCTAGTTTTCTCACCGGTTTTAGGCCACTTATTTTTTAGACTATGGCCTTTTCAACAACAACAAAAAAGAAACGAAACAAAATTGCAAAAAAGTGAGGTATTCCGTCTCAGCTGAGTGAAGAAACTACCGTTTTGGCAACCTGGAGTAAAGGTTTAACCTGCCAAATGAGTTGCCGAGCCAGTGAAAGAGGCGGATTTTTCACTTATACATGCTTTCTTCCTTTGTGACCCACAACCCCTAATTTGGGGAGGACAAGCTGCCCAACGGTTCCTGGCCTCATGAAAAGTTGTTGGGCACCGCCCCCACGGCCGCAGAGTTGTGGGGCAAGCTTCCCCCACTGCCCTCTCCCCCGGTTCCCGCGCCTATGTATGAATCTATGAAATTATGTTGGTAGATTTCCGATTTCGATTCCTCCAGCTGGGGGGGGGGGAGGGGGGCTCAAATACATTACGAGCCCCCAGCCGAAAAGCTGGGGGGCTCATCCCCCGCTAGCCCCCCCCCCCGGTTCCCGCGCCACTGGTCATGTTATAACCGGGACGCGAGATCTCACTTCGCGTAGTCCAACGCTTTACCGACTGAGCTACGGGACCGGCTCAGTCGGTTCCGGAAGTTGAGGTTAACAAAGTTGAAATTGTCAGGCTTCCAGGTCAGTCCAACTGACCTCACCTCGAAAAAAAACTTAAAATGTTCGGCTATAGCTACACCGACGTCCGACGGCACGATCGCCTTGAAACGTTCATAACTAGAATCGGCGCACACAGATGTCGCAGTTTATATGCGATTTGCCGTATGCATATTGCATAGATGTCGCAACTATAGCGACACATGCAGTGCAAATGGTAGCAGACAGCAGTATTTTCCCCTACCAATGTAGTGGTATTCTACCACAGACGCTCGTCGAGGTCGGAATTTCCAAATATACCTATGTCCTATATGCTGTTTTGCGCGCAACAAATGCCGCACTTTCAAATAAAGTTGCTAGGAATAGCAGAGATCCAAAAATTAAATAAAAGTAAAAGTGTAATATCTTGAAAACCGGTGAATATTTTTTCTATTCAATTGCAAGGATTCAATATTCAATTGCAATATGCAAGGAGCCGAACAATTGGGCTGAGGATTGGGATACAGCGAGAACTCTCATCGGCATTCTATCGTCGGAATCTTCAAGAGCTGCAGCCCATGCATCCTTGTCTTGAACCAGTGATCGTCTGATGTGCAGCTCGAATCAGTGCCTAACGATTACGTTCCGTGTGTTACTCGTATTTTTACACGCCAAATACAAACGACGCATGTTTATAAATATATTTTTTAGCTGCATATATTTTCATATATTTTCGGGTTATTATTTATGATCATGTGCTTTTTCCTCTTCCCCAAAAAACAAGTCCCAAGTTTTTCTTTACCTCACAAATAACCCTCTTTACACACAAAACTATGCAGAAATGGGCAATTTTACACATTCGAGATAATAAATCACGACTTAAAATTGTTTTAAATACACTTAACATCACTTTTCCGTCGTGCAAGAATATTTATGCACTCAACTTTGCATTTTAAGACCACTCGTGCTTATATGATTGTTTAAGCACTTGTTCATAAATGAACTCCCTTAAATAATCATTTAAGCACATGTGGTCTTAAATCGCAAAGTGTCGTACATAAATATTCTTACACTCCGGAAAAGTGACGTTAACATATAGGGATCCCAATTTGGCTATCTCAGCTCAAAATCAATGAAAAAATGAAATATAACGAGGCTTGAAATGATCTCACGCATGTCAAAGTGTTTTTATTTTAGGCAAAATAAATATCTTAAACAGTAAAACAAGCTTTCGGCATTACGCCATCATCAAGTTTGAATAAATTAACATGTTTTTGATTTTCAAAAGCTAGAGCACAATCATATTGTTACAGGCATCCTCATAGCAGCTCACTTTTTTAAACGTATTGCAATACGTTGTAAATAGTGTGGTACATTGCACATGGCAAGTAAATAATGTACAACAATGTATCATTACGTACGCTACAACATGGCATGCACACAATATATCATAGGTACAACAAGGTCAATAAATCTCATCTCAACATCAGCCGCATACATCAACACCCGGTCAGTAAACATTGACATTATAATCATATTGAAAAACATTGCCGCTGTTCTTAGCTCGATTCCAGTCAACCAGTCGTGAGTCGGGCAAGTCAGTTAGGTGCAAGTGTACGTGTGCGTGTGCGTGGTAGAGTATACATGTGAAACAAAGGGTAGAGATAAGTGAGTGAGTGTATAAGTTTGTGAGAGAGTGAGTGAGTGAGAGAGTGAGTGTGTGAGTGAGTGAGGGGTGAGTGAATGAGAGAGAAGTGTGTGTGTGTGTGTTATGACCTATGGTTTACGAGCGAGGGGCCATGAGCTTTTCATCATGTTTAATGTGGGCCTTAGGTCTCTAATTTTGATAGATTCAGTGATTTTTAGTTCAGCAGAATCCCGTCCCCAACCGATTATTTCAATAGTAAAGGCGGAGTTGATTTCAGTGCTACTTGCGTTAAAGTGCGAATCAGCAATATGTTCACCTAGTGGGGTGTCTGGTTTTCTCAGGCGAGCGTCACTTAGGTGCTCGTTGAATCGATAACGTACAGGGCGGGTGCTTTCTCCGATATAAAATTCAGTTCGTCCGTTTCTTTCACAGAGGCTACAGGTAATTTTATAGACTATGTTTTTCTTAGTACACTTACCCTTCAGCCCACTCTCACAGGTGTGACAGTGCTTAGTCCCGGCTGGGCAGGGCGGTTTAGAGAAGGCGGAAGAGATAAGCTTGTTTCCTATTGTGGGACCACTAATCCAGGCTACTTTGATATTAGTTTTAGATCTTCTCAAAACACCATTGACTCTTCTAACGACGTTTTCGTCTAAATAGGGAAGCCGCATGAATATCTCGTTTTCTTTGTTGCGCCGAGTTTTACGTTCACTACGCTTGCGAAGGTTATTCTTTATGCTCGTGTCTAACATGGCTGTTGGGTACCCGTTCTGCTCAAACAGAAGTTTTATCCGCTTTACGCTGCGATCCCTCGTTCGGTCGTCAGATGACACCCTCATCGCTCGCTTGATCTGGGAATTGAGAACGGCCTTCTTGGTACTCAGGGGTGGGCGGACGTAAAGTGGAGAATGATCGGGGCTGCCATCGGTTTAAAGTATAATTCCGTGGTGTACTCACCGGTGGGGTATACTGTTATGAGGGTATCTAAGAAAGGAAGTTGACCGGTGCTGAAGGTAGACTCCATTGTGAAGCTTATGGATCGGTTGTAAGCATTAATACAGTTGAAAAAATGGTTCAGGCGATCAATCCCATGTGTCCAGACCCCGACAATATCGTCAATGTAGCGTAAGTAAAGGACAGGGGCAAATTCCAAGCTCGACATAAATCCAGTCTCTAGTATATGCATAAAGGTGATCGCCACGGGAGGGGCTATCCTGTTTCCCATCGAGATGCCTGACGTTTGCTTGAATATTTTAGATCCGAAGCGCACGAAATTGTTAGTAAGAACATGACTCAGCAGTGTGCGAAGATCCGAAAGTGTGATTCCGAACAAATTGACTTTGGTGATATTATTTCCTATCAGGGTTATCACAGCATCAATCCCCTCCTGGATAGGGATGGTCCCGTAAAGGTTACACACATCTAGAGAGAAGATGATGGATCCAGGCGGGAGGCTCTTGGGGAAGGCAGCGTTGAGTTTAGTAAGGAAAGCCTCTGTGTTGGGTAGATGTGCCGGAATAAGACTTAGAATTTGGGTAAGAATACACTGAATGAACCAGGACAGCTTATCTAGGGGATCACCGCAAGCTGAGACTATGGGGCGCAGCGGGTTACCTGTTTTGTGAGTCTTCGGTAGACCATATAATTCTGCTGTTCGGGTGTGCTGTGGGAGAAGGCGTTGCAACGCCGCGTTGTATGTAGTCGTCTGGGATTTTTTGTTTCAGAGTTGATTTAATGAGGTTTTTAGTTTGATCTTCTAGTCTAGGGGTCGGGTTAGTCTGAACTCAATGGTGACTTCAGACACCATTGACTCTCAAGAGTCAATGGTGTTTTGAGAAGATCTAAAACTAATATCAAAGTAGCCTGGATTAGTGGTCCCACAATAGGAAACAAGCTTATCTCTTCCGCCTTCTCTAAACCGCCCTGCCCAGCCGGGACTAAGCACTGTCACATGCCTGTGAGAGTGGGCTGAAGGGTAAGTGTACTAAGAAAAACATAGTCTATAAAATTACCTGTAGCCTCTGTGAAAGAAACGGACGAACTGAATTTTATATCGGAGAAAGCACCCGCCCTGTACGTTATCGATTCAACGAGCACCTAAGTGACGCTCGCCTGAGAAAACCAGACACCCCACTAGGTGAACATATTGCTGATTCGCACTTTAACGCAAGTAGCACTGAAATCAACTCCGCCTTTACTATTGAAGTAATCGGTTGGGGACGGGATTCTGCTGAACTAAAAATCACTGAATCTATCAAAATTAGAGACCTAAGGCCCACATTAAACATGATGAAAAGCTCATGGCCCCTCGCTCGTAAACCATAGGTCATAACACACACACACACACACACTTCTCTCTCATTCACTCACCCCTCACTCACTCACACACTCACTCTCTCACTCACTCACTCTCTCACGAACTTATACACTCACTCACTTATCTCTACCCTTTGTTTCACATGTATACTCTACCACGCACACGCACACGTACACTTGCACCTAACTGACTTGCCCGACTCACGACTGGTTGACTGGAATCGAGCTAAGAACAGCGGCAATGTTTTTCAATATGATTATAATGTCAATGTTTACTGACCGGGTGTTGATGTATGCGGCTGATGTTGAGATGAGATTTATTGACCTTGTTGTACCTATGATATATTGTGTGCATGCCATGTTGTAGCGTACGTAATGATACATTGTTGTACATTATTTACTTGCCATGTGCAATGTACCACACTATTTACAACGTATTGCAATACGTTTAAAAAAGTGAGCTGCTATGAGGATGCCTGTAACAATATGATTGTGCTCTAGCTTTTGAAAATCAAAAACATGTTAATTTATTCAAACTTGATGATGGCGTAATGCCGAAAGCTTGTTTAACTGTTTAAGATATTTATTTTGCCTAAAATAAAAACACTTTGACATGCGTGAGATCATTTCAAGCCTCGGTTTATTAATAATAATCATGTCATCCATCCTCGCCCACATAAAAAATGAAATAGTCACATTAGTCAGGCACCTAGCACGTGACAGTGGTTATCTGGTATCCATAACATTACATTCAGATTCAGGGTACATTCAGACGTGGACGGTGATGCTCAGTGCCTTACCGTGCTGTCCGGCGACCAGAAGGGCGCAGAGGCCCGCCACCAGCAGGGAGGTCATGGCTGAGCGCTGACGCCGCGTCACTGCGCCGCCGGGACGCCCCGCGCCGGTCACCGGCGCCGCAGCTGACCTTTGTGTGGCCGGTGACAGAGCCGTCACAGGGGACGGCTGGCCGGTGACAGAGCTGTCACAGGGGGCAGCTGACCGGTGACAGAGCTGTCACAGAGGACGGCCGGCGCCCGGCGTGTCCGGCCGGCCCGCGTATTTACAAATTGCAACCGAGCTCCGCCGTAGGGTATTTTATTTCCGCCGTAGTGTATTTCAGTTGGGGTATTTTCTACCATACATCCGCCTGAGCTTGGGGTAATTACAATTTGTCGGCGACGTTAAAAAATGATGCACCTTTTTTCGCAGTATAGGTTATCGCATGTGCATATTTTTGTCTTTTTGGTTGCGCTTTTCCCTCGCCGGTATAGGGGGAGGCGTTGAGCGGACCCCATCGGTTTTTCGTGAGTAACTCGCGTAAAAACCGTCCGATCGCGACGAAACTTTCAATACCCCCGATTTTATCAATTTTACTCCTGGCCTGAAAATTTCATGACCCTGACCCAAATGACCTTTGACCTGTGACCTATTTCTCGAGGCCATGTTTGGCCCGAATCGCGATTCGGCGTATGTCGGCTCACATTAGCCGCGCGTTTGCAGTCTTTACGTGGTTTCAAGCGTTGAAATATGTGATATGATGCTGGTCCCATACATTAGGGTGGGTGTCACATGAAGGTCAGGTCAGCTCAATGACCTTTGATGACCTCGGTTCACTTTTTCGAGTTTAACATGTTTCTAGGCTAGTTTTTGGAGCTGATTTCGAATTTAGCAACCACTTGAACATTACAGAGGGTGTAACGAAATTATCCGGACATCTTTCTTCCCGCTGTAATTAAAAAGCAAAACATTCTGGTACTTTTTATTTTGACTGAGCATGTAGCCACCTTTCATAAAAACACAGTGGCGAATGTTTTGGAGCATTTCAGCCAATGTATTCTCCAGCACACTGGCTTTGATGCGGACCAACGCCGTCTAAACCTGTGGCAGCGGTTGGGCGGTGCTTGTGGCGGGCGTCTCTTCAGTCACCTAAGCCGTAATCGCCACACCATATGTGGAAGGCTTTTGGTGTCAATACATACATACATACATACATACTGAACAAGAGCCCACAGGTTTTCGATTGAATTGGGATCGCGACTTTTTCCAAGTCATAAGCGTTAGCCCAGAATGATTGAAGGTTCTATCGGCATCACTTCCCGTTCTTTTAGGGACTTTTAAGTAGCGCGCCGTCCCGCATGAAGACAGCGTGGCTTGAATCAGGCATCAGTGCGCGTTCAGAAACCGAGCCCTCAGGCGCTCAACCAGACGGTATAGGAGGGCCTCCTATACCGTCTGGTTGAGCGCCTCCGACTATTCATTGGCCAGTATGTTTCTCCGGTAATACTTGACGTTGATGGCGGTATTTTGTGACACTATGTTCTATTGGAGGATCGCTAGGCAGCTGAACATGCTCCAGTTCTGGATGTTGTCCGGATGTTTGACGGCGGCGAAGGCCAGGAAGTTCGAGCGGCTGGCCGCCCATACATGGCCGATTTGACGGTTCAAAAGATAATACAGCTCGAACGGCTACCCATCCAACCAGACCACCTCACCCTTATCATTCTTCAACCAGTGGACGCGATCTGGCGTGAGGCGAAAGGTGGTGAACTGGTTGTTTTCCCGTCAGTTTCGTTGTCTTTTTCAGTTTGAAGGGCACTAGAACCAAGTTAAAGGGCGGGTAGCGGTAAAGCATGATATGGGATCTCTTATTATCTGACTTGGTAAGAATTCGAGTCAATTTGCGGATTGATTGGTGCCGTTTCCTTGCCGCTATCTTGATGACTCTCCTCACCACTTGGCAAAGGGCGGCTTTTGTGGTCACGACTGGGCTGAGTCTGCCACCGAAGTCCCAGATTATTACACCTCAGGCAGATGTGCAATTGGCTGCTGCTGATGTCCAGCTGCTGGCAGACCAGCTTCTGGCTCATGACGCCGTGGATGCCGCCATGCAATTTTACCACGAAAGGAGAGATTGCATCCCTTTCTCGCAACTGCCTTGGACGAAAACTACCATGTGAACCCGTCTGCGAATCGACTCCTACTCAGAGCAACAGTCACATGACAAGGTCAGGTCACTGCTGAGTTGAAAACCGATAGCAGAGGCACGTATTCATCCAATATCCCCACTTCTAACATCAGGAAGGATTAGGAAACTGTGCAAACAGATATGGCGAAAAAATAGATGTCCGGATAATTTCGTTACACCCTGTACTGAAGTAGTTTTAGTGCCTTCGTAACATGTTACGAAGCTGTCAGAAAAAAAGCGTTCTGCCCCTCCAACTTTTGCTTATTTGTAGAACTTCGTTGCTTAGCAAACCACTATGTTGTTGGCATTGAGGAGCTTTGAAATGTCTGTGTAATTCAAAATGTTAGTTCTGTAATTAAAAGAATTGATTCAGTGTTGCACATAATCTAACTTAACAACCGAGCATTGCAGGTTTGACAGCTTTTTGCCCCACCAGCACCACCTTCGCTGGAAAAGCTCCACCCTTGCCTATGGGGCAAAACATAAGGGACAAAAACACAAAACAAGACAGATAAAAAACAACACAAAATGAACTCATTGCCTAATGAAGTTCAGTCTGGAGCAAAAACATAGGTAATAGGCATCTATGTCAAATTAGAATGAAATATTAAAATCAACTTGACCAGGTCTTACGGTCTGACCTGATCCTGACTGCCTTACTTCACCTAACCCCAATTCAACCTAACCTACCACAACACCTGCAGAGGTACCTTCCTGGAAAATCACGCCCAGGGAGGTGTCCAACTTATTGGAATATTACCATGATTGCTTGTCAAAATGTGTGTCATCATGCACTCTTGTTTGACAAGTGATGTATAATAAATGTGACATTCAAAAATGACCTCCTGACTGTTGAGTGATTAGAATCTTCAAATAATCAGGGTACAATGCTGTGCATCATAGTGCACACTAGTCATGTTGTTTTTGTGTAGGCCCTCTGCACATTATTGTGTACACTGCCATGTGCACCTTAAGGAAAAAAAGTGACTAGTGGTGCATAAAAAGGTTGTGCAATTGTGAAGTTCATGCCCTTGGTCTTGCTGGAGCCAAATGCCTATAGCTATAGCAGGATCAGTGAGGGTTGTAGACATGCTACATACACTGTGAATTGAAGATATTGGCACAAAGTTCACCCATAGGTAATTACTATGCTTAACACCTAATGTAAGAAGCAACATAAATGCCCAGATGATACAGCAACAGCTCTCTGGTCAACATCACACAAATTTATTGACATACTTTGCAGGTACATATTTACATTCATAGCAAATACTTTCGATTTGATTCAATAACTAGGTGCTAGTAAGCTTGCATTTTTGTAGGTACAACAATGAACATATATTTAATCATAAAAAACTTTCTCATGGCATTAATCACATACCTTTTTACCGAACAAGTACCTACCATGCAATGATTCTAAATTTTGTCCGCAAAGTGTACCTATATCTCAACTAACACATTGAAATTGAAATACCCTAACAAAACCTAGAACTGTACAAAAGGAGAATACAATTCTACAAGAACTATGAAGTTCTGAAGTTATTCTCACATGCTGGAATGTTGAAACTCTACTTTTGTCGTCCATTTCCACGTTTCATTGAGCAATCATATAGAACTGTTTTCGCTCTTCAGTCATAAGCTTTTGCACAATTCTTGAATTTTTACACATCATCTTGAACCATGCTCCAGTCTTTCCAACAAGGTACTATGGAACATCAAAGCAATTTTGATTTGTTGCAACAGCTTCAGATCATGATAGGCTTGAAGTTTGTTACACCATTTGCCAGACAAACCTCTACAAAATGTGTATCAATTCCCAAACTAAGCAATTGATTATATCAGTATTTGCGGTTTCCACACAATGTTTCATAATATTATTCGATTTTTATATCAAGAAACCCAAATAATCCACAAATTGTTATTGAAACACTCCCACTTCAAGAGTTCACAGCAATAACAATACAAGTTCAGAAGCAAATAAACATTGCGCCAGATTTCGTATGAAACGCGCCATCATCCTGAAGTTTCTACCACAGACGGTAGTTCAACCGCAGCCGTAGTGCGAAAACCCCTGCCCACCTTACCCCACGGCGGAGCTCGGTTGCAATTTGTAAATACGCGGCCGGCCCGCGGGACCACTGCACTGGTTGACCGGCCGCTGCAGGTTCAGGTGGCCCTGTCGAGGAATCTGCCGGACGGCACCGTGGATGGCCCAGAACGTCTCGGCACTGTGGTCACAATCCGCAGTATCGCCACGTCCCTGCAACACATTAGCCGCTTCCTCGACGGGTCCGGTCTCTTCAGAGCGGTACAAAATCACTGAACAGGGCTTACAGCAACGCGCACACCTTATAACGATAGGCAAGTTTGAAACAATTTATTTATTAAAAACACAACTCGGTGGCATCAAAACACTTGCCAGCGCATGACATCGTCTCAACTAACAACCTTCGGGCATTCAGCGTGTGAACGGCAAGGCGCATTTAGCGTCTCGGTCACCGTTAGTAGGAATCCCTCCACTGCGATTCCGCTACTGGGGCTCACACACCAGCACGCCTAACTCTCAGTGTCGCGTCAGACCAAGGGTGGCTACACTTGGATACGCAACTTTCATCAACTTCACAACTTATTGCTAAGGGCATGGAACACATAAGCTTTTGACTATCGAAACACGAAGAAGTACTTATGCCTCTTTGGAATAAAATTTGTGTCAAAGTTGTGCACATACGACCAAAGCCAACTAGCGATAGGCCTAGGACGGTCAACACTCAATAGATACCACTGACTTTATGTCGCCTCACCAGAGCCTGTTGTCTCGCCCAGACAAAATTGCCGGCTGTGGCTATCTCTTATTCCTGAAAGCTGCCCACAAGTTTCACCAGCCCGACACACCAAAACTAATGTGATGAAAGATCAGCCAGCATAGCTGGTGGTTTTCATATATGACTTCATAGGGGCTGGCAAAACTCGTGGGCGACTTTTTAGGCTTCAAGCAACGGCATCCGGCAGTTTTTCTGTTGCTAAATCTGGCCTCAATTGAAGGCTACTTAATTTTCACAATCAATGACCTTTGTTGGAGATCCCTGCAAATTTCGCTATTCCCTCTCTCCGGAAATATAAGGCCTTCACTGTCTAGTCGACATTCTCTCCAGATTCAGCGGTCCTCTCCGCGTCACTGTCGGGCATGTCGCGCCGATGGATACATCTGACACACACGCACACACACACGGCCAGTGCGAGGCCGGCCCAGGGTGTCGGCCGGGTGTCTACGCAGGCCGCCGCACGCTGTCCCCCTCCCTTCGTCCCCTCGGCCGCTCACACCGCGCTGTCGTCCTCTCGGCCGCTCACACTCCGCTGTCGCGTTCCCGGCCACTCACACGCCGATGTCGTTCCTGTCCCACTCCAGACCCTCCACCTCGATCTTGTCTGGGTGAGAGCGGACCGGCACGGCGCCGTACTTGGGCCTGGTGGTCAGCTTCTTCTCCATCGTCTCGCAGACCTGCGCAGTGAGCACCGGTCACTCGAGGGCGGCAGTCGCAACAAACGGTCAGCAGCGACACTAACTGGACCGTCAGCAGCTACTCGGGTCACCTCCGGCCAGTGCCATGGCCACTGACAGTAACCAGTACAAAACACTACATAACCAAGTGCTCATGTGATCACAATTTATTCGACACCACAAGACTGTTGTGATTTGTGAATTCATGTGACTTTTTGTTACGATGTTCAGCAGCCTGAAGTGGACAAGGAACTACTACTTTGACCCATCTGATCGGAACCCAAACAGTTGCCGACCGGATGCATCCTTTTTTTTGGGGGGGGGGGGCTATAACGCCATAACTACCTAATCTACGCTGCAGGTGCGCCGAAATGGTCTAACGTTCGAATTCCCGGTAAACAGGGCCATTTTCAACGGCACGTGGTACGTGGTTCTGAAGTTTTCCGTTCACTTCGCCACTTGTCAATGGGTACTGCACCGAATGGTGGTTAATCTGTATGAATGAAAATTTGGGGTCTCTTGAATGGTTTTAAGCAATCTTCTGCCGTAAGAACGTGCTTTTGAATTTTAAATTTGTTTAAATCTGTTTGCCCCATTGACCCTCGCAAGACCAGGGGGTTAACCCGCGCCCCGTAGGGGGGGGGGCCGAAACGGCCCCTCCCTGTCCTTTTCGGTCGATATCTCCTAAACAGCTGGAGATATCGCCACCAAACTTTCAGGACCTCTCCGGGCATCAATTTTACACATTGTGACCAAAAAATTTTCCAAAGGCTATGATAGGTTGGCCACAAATGACGTCAGAGTGACGTCATGTTCTGTCATTTTCGACCGAAAAAAGACCTTCGCGAGAAGACCTGTCAGGACTACAGCTTTGAAGATACAGAAAAATGATTAAGACATAAAAGGTGTAAAATTGACAGGGCTACAAAACTGCTATCTCGAATTTTTGAAATTTTTGAGTTTTGACCCCCAAAAATCAAAAAAGCATTTTTTTGGATATATTCGCCAAAAAATCCAAAAAGTTTTTTGAGTTTCGAAAAAACCGGAATATATGTGATAGTGCCTACCGTCTTCTATCTACATACCAAATTTCAGATCGATACCTCGTTTTTTGGCCAAGTTATAGCGAAAAAACTGTTCAAAAATGATGACGTCAAATTTTCAAACTCAATTTTTGGCAATTCTAGAACTCGTAGAGCAAAACGAAGACCACCATTAGACTCCCCGTGACGAGCTACATCGAATTGATACCCATTTTATGCAAAAATATCAACTTTGAAATTTGACCTAATTTGACCTGACCTTGACCTGACCTTTACCAAAACGTGACCTAGGCTGGCCCCAAAGGCTGCCTAACCCACATAATCGCATTTGTCATGTAAAATGGACCATAAAACATGTATCACACGACACATTCATATTGTGACCCCCGGTGACCTGACCTCGCTGTGACCTGACCTGGTATCAGTGACCTCAGATAGCAAAGTATGTGTTTGACGAACAATGTACCATCGATGGTTTTCAATAAATTACCAATTTACTCGCTTTCACAGCACATTTCTTGAATTGCCTGTGAACGGTGAAAATCTTACCTTTGACCTGACCTGTGACGTCATCGGTTTGACCTAGGTCAATGAAATTTGGTCACAAGGTAGTTCCCGGATGGGGCTATCGAACGCCGTTTGAATTTTGAAAATCGGCCGGTAACTTTCCGAGATCTTAGGGGGGGGGGCCGAAACGGCCCCCCCCTACGGGTGGTAGGGTCCGCCGGTAGCCCTACGGGGCGCGGGTTAATGCAACGCCCTCCAAGGTCTCTCGCAGATAATGTAAAAACGGCTACGCTTAGCGCCGCCAAATTTGATATATCAATTGGCAATCATTTTGGCATATTTCCTGCAAATATCAAGTTCCATTCAAGTCTGGTCGGGTCACCGGGTTACTACCTACCTTATTAAAATTATATAAACGGTACAATTCTAACGAATAATGTTTTTAACTACTGAACACAAGTCTTCGATTAAACCCTAGTTTTTCAATCAGACCTTATACGTTGGATGCGTTATGAAGTGATGGCTACTTACGTTGAACTTCCAGAGCGCGAATATGAGGCCGGCCGCCACGCCCACCCCGAGGAGCGTGAGACAGACGATGAGCGCGATGTTGGCGCCCTCATCCTCGCACACGAATTCCTCCGCCTTCAGCGTGTGGATGGCCCGACCGGACACCGTCGGGGGCTCACTGCACCTGCGGGCGCGGGGCAGGTCAGGTCAGGGCACCGTTCGCCACTCACTGCGGGCGCGGGACAGGTCAGGTCAGGACACCGTCTGCGGCTCACTGCGGGCGCGGGGCAGGTCAGATCAGGTCACCGTCCTCCACTGCTTGCGGGCACGGGGCAGGTCAGGTCAGGCCAGGACACCGTCCGCCACTCACTGCGGGCGCGGGGCAGGTCATCAGGTCAGGTCACCGTCCGCCACTCACTGCGGGCGCGGGACAGGTCAGGACACCGTCCGCGGCTCACTGCGGGCGCGGGCAGGTCAGGTCAGGTCACCGTCACTGCACCTGCGGGAGCGGGGCAGGTCAGGTCAGGTCACCGTCACTGCACCTGCGGGCGCGGTGCAGGTCAGGTCAGGTCACCGTCCGCCACTCACTGCGGGCGCGGGAGTCCGGGACAGGTCAGGTCAGGTCAGGGTACCGTCCGCGGCTCACTGCGGGCGCGGGCAGGTCAGGTCAGGTCACCGTCACTGCACCTGCGGGCGCAGGACAGGTCAGGTCAGGGCACTGTCACTGCACCTGCGGGCGCGGGGCAGGTCAGGTCAGGGCACCGTCCGCCACTCGCTGCGGGCGCGGGACAGGTCAGGTCAGGTCACCGTCACTGCACCTGCGGGCGCGGGACGGGTCAGGTCAGGGCACCGTCCGTCACTGCACCTGCGGGCGCGGGACAGGTCAGGTCAGGGCACCGTCCGCGGCTCACTGCGGGCGCGGGGCAGGTCAGCTCAGGTCACCGTCCGTCACTGCACCTGCGGGCGCGGGACAGGTCAGGTCAGGTCACCGTCACTACACCTGCGGGCGCGGGACAGGTCAGGTCAGGTCACCGTCCGCCACTCACTGCGGGCACGGGGCAGGTCAGGTCAGCACCTGAGGTCAAAGGCCTACATAGTTTAGCCAGCAGAAAAAGCACGGGCTGCGGTTATTCTTATCCCTTAAACTAGCCACCACAAGTTTCACCAGCCACATGAAAGATTAACACGGCTGCGAGCAGCTGTCAGGTTGGTCGTAGTATTTCCACTCAGCGTTTTTTTTTTTAAGCGGCTGACGAACTGCCTGATCCTGAGCAATCCAGTGCAGTAGACAACACAAGCAGATTCTTTTTAATTTTCCAATTCCTGGTAATCCCTTTGATAAAAAACACTAGGCAAACTCACTTCAAAATTCAATTTCACAGAAGAAAAAGGTGAGCCAAAACTACATAGCAAATTTGACAATTACGCTGAATCCTATTGCATAATTGCATAGTGCATAGGCATACCTATTCATTGTATAATGTACATATATATGGTGCATACTGCACATCAGGGGCGGATCTAGGATTTCGATAGGGTGGGGGCAGTCAAGCACAGGGGCGGCACATTTTCCGCCTAAGGGGGCGGCATTTATAGGGTCTGTTCCAGTCCAGTGGAAAAAAAAACGAGCTTGACGGCCGTCACGAGACGCAGCGATTGATATTCAAATTTAGGGTCTCAGGTCAACTGGTGACCTCTGGTCAGGTAAATTACCCTAAAGTCGGGTTTTTGTTTTTGGCAAATAATTTTGCAAACAAATGGCCATAGAGCAAAAATTTAGGCAAAATGGTATTCCTCTCAAGCTGCGTCGAATGTTGTGGGTACTTTTTGTTCGGTAAAGGTCACAATCAAGATTGACACAAAGGTCGTCAAGTCAAGCCCCCTCAGGACACTGTTCGGACTAGGTCAGGCTGCATATCAATCGATTTGGAAGCTCATTGCAATCACAATGGTGCCTTTCCCGACTCTAGCTTAATTTGGTCGAAAGTTATTAACGAAAAACGATTATGACCCAAAAGAACGTCCTCTGTGACGTTCTCTGTGGCGTCATACAAGTAGGTACAAAATGCCAAAATAAGGCACGGAATCCTTTGACGAGCGTGTGAAAACACATTTATTTGCGTCTTCGGGCGGATTATATAACAACTATATGTTCCAAAAAGAGCAAGTTCAGTAGTTCCCCCATAGTTTTATAATGGGGGAGGTCAGGTGACTGACCTGACCCAAGATGAATTGTACGAACAATCTAAGATATACGAAGTATGAGTACCCGGGAGCTTGTTACTTTCTGAAAGTGCCATCATCCTCGCCGACACTTTGCCTGGCGTTGGCGGCGTTGCGAAGTTGCAACATTTTTTTGACAGTGCAGACTGCAGAGTGCAGAGGTTTACTTATAACCTTTAGAGGTTTATGCATCGGTCAGTGACCTGACCATAGTTGGAGAATTGTACTGAACTGTGGGTGCACGAGCTCTCCCAATTCCACGCCGGCTTGGCTTTGGAGCCGCAACAGACTGGAGGTCAAGGTCACCGCTAGAGCGGCGGCGGATTTGCTGCGCCCGAGCACCCACCGTTCGGCACAATTATCCACCTATGGACCTGAACTAACCTGGAAATGAATCAGGTGTCATAAGGTCTGGTTTGGATGGGGGCTCACGTAGGCCAAGTTTCAGCTCTCTTTCACCTTTAAAGGTAGTGTGCCAGCTTTCCTGGACCGTATGGAGTTAATGGCCCAGATAAGGAGAACCGGATTTTTAGAACTTATCCACACCTTCAAAACTCATGGAAACGTCTTAAATTCTTCAAATTTTGAGTACCCCAGTGCAAAATTCGCCCCGACGGGTTGTCGGTCGTACCCCAACCACATTTCACACCCCTATGAACAATAAATGCACACACTGAAATCGCTATTACCGATAGGCTCATCCAATCAAGTTTCGATAAACCCGTTCATCATCATCTCCTGCGGTTTCGAACACGCCTGTTAGGTGGTGCGGTACGGTGCGGTAGACCGCGCCCAAAGCCAGGGCCCCGGTAACGTGAGGTAGCCGAGTCGGGGCAGCGTGCGCTGACCCAAGCCAGGGCCGCGCGTCCTCCCGGTGTCATGTGATAGCCCGGGGTTGCCCGCGGGGATGCGGTAGACCGCGCCCAAAGCCGCGGCCCCGGCTTGGGTCAGCGCACGATGCCCCGACTCGGCTACCTCACGTTACCGGGGCCCTGGCTTTGGGCGCGGCTTCTGCTCATTGTCATCTCTGCCACTTTCATGTGGTGAAATGGGGTCATAACTTTAGAGACGGCTGTTTCATATCAATTATTTTACATAAAATAATATTTCAAACCATAAATTAATGTTCGACAGCCAAATTAAAGCAACAATACCAATACAGGCCTACAGTTTAAATTCGACATTGTGTTGTCTACGATTAGACAGCTGATAACTCATTCCCGTACGTCGTAACTCTATAATGACCTTTGCTTATTGTCACATGTGCGCCGCATTCGTGATTGTTGCCGACGCCTGTTTGCAGGTCAGCCCACTACGGTTGTTATGCATATCGAAAAACCGATAAACTTTTAGGCGAAAAAAGCACTATTTTAGGTCCATTTTTGATTTTTTTTTGCGATATTAGGTAAAAACAGAAGCTTCTTATCCTAGGAAAAATAAAATGGGAAATCATTCGAAGGTGGCACACTACCTTTAACCCTCGCCGGACCTATTGGTTTTCTACATACGCGCCGGCCGAGGGGGGGGGGGGGCGGGTACGACCCCCCCTCGCCGTTTCGCCCCTGGTGGAGCTAGCGCGTCGCGGAAAAAACGAGCGTGTGCGCCGTTACGAGACGCAGAGATTGGTACCCGATTTTAAGGTCCTAGGTCAACCGGTGACCTCTGAGGTCAGGTCAAGTGCCCCAAGGTACGGTTCAGTTTTTGGTGAATAACTTCGCAAAAAACGGCCGCAGAGCGCCGATTTTGGCAGCATCGTGTTCGTCTCGCTCAGGCGCGTCGAATGATATACTTTTTGCCCGGGTCAGGTCAACTTGGGGTGTTGACCTCAGGTCAAGGTCAGGTCAGCACCCCCAGGTCACGAAATTGGTCGAAAGAGGTCATGTCGCATATCATTCGATTCGGCAGGTCTTCCTGAGTCCATTGGTGGTCTTCCCGACTCGCTAGCTCAATTTGATCAAGAGTTATTGACGAAAAACTAATATGACCTTGATGACGTCATAAATGACGTCACGCAAGGTCAACATTGCAAAAGTGACGCATCTAACCTTGCAAGGAGTGCATCAAATCACGATTCTGTGTGCTTGAGATAGTTGGAGATCGTTCCCGGCGCCAGAATAGCAGTTTGAATTTTTCCCCATTGACTTATAATGGTGAGGTCACGAAAATGACCTGACCTCATATGACCTTTAGGAAAAATCCGAGATATACAAGTTGTGGTACTCATAATGGATACTAGATCCTGCAAGTTTCATTTCCCTGTGACATCTCCTCTGGCAGTGAGGGCGTTGCGAAGTTGCGACATCTGAAGACCGTGCAGAGGTTCACTTATGACGTCATAGGTCAGTGACCTGACCTGACCCAAAAATGCGGTTGGTGTCAAAAGATCCGGCTTGGATCAAAGGTCAGGTATGCCAAGTTTCAGCTCTCTATCGCCAGCGTGTTCGGAGCTATCGCGAAAAAAACCCTATGGGGGGGCGGCACCCGCCCCCCCCCCCTCGGCCGGCGAGGGTTAAGAAGGGGGTAAACTGGCTTCGGACGTCGCTACGAGTTCAGAGGAAGCTACTTTCATTTCAGAGGGCGGCACTGTATCTCAGGGTCTTGGCTAATGAATTTCGACTAAGGGGCAAACCAGACCTCAGAAGCCAGAATGACACCACGTAACATACATATACCGTGTACATCGCATGTAACATGCACAGGCTAGGATACAAAATTTCTGCCCAAAAATAAGTATTCGTACACCTACTTCTACCGAGGGGTTAAGACTTAAGAGGCCAGCGTAAGGCGCTCGAAGGCCCAGGACGAGCCCTCGGAGGCTAGCATGGGGCACTCAGAGGCCGCTTTGGGGACCCTAAAAGGCCAAATGTGAGGGGGGCGTGTGGCGTTAAAAAGCCCGCACGTAGGCCTTGTAAGACCAACGGGGTAGGGCCTTCTGAGGCCATATAGGGCCCTATGACAATT